CAGGGGGAATAGACAGTAAACAGCTCCCGAAACGAGGGAGTAAATTCTCCGCCGTGAGTTATTCAGCCTGCAACTTTAAACATCCCCAGATAGTTTGTTTCCACAAAAGAATTGCATGGGTGACTTAATTTATGTAAATATCGAAAGAAACAATAAGAAAATATGCTAATTAAATGGCCATCTTTCCTCAGGAGCGCACCGTCTTCTGGGTCGTTAGGGGCGATTTTGACTGCGCATGTTGCAGTCTCACTGAAGTCATCCGTTCTGCCTGAGTGGAGAATCGGACACACAAATCGATGCATCATGGGCTTAGAGACATACCGTATTCGGTCGCATTGCCAACCGTTACAGAGCGTTCTCGTAAGAGGCAGTGGTAGACACATTGGTGGCATAAAACCCAACAGCGGTATGCTCAGGCACGCGCAGACCAGTAAAGTCAAACCTTCACCAGAAACTCACTTTTGTTCCCCAGGAAGACGTGAATGCGGGTCAAACTCGCTGAGCGAGGTATAGAGGGAGAGGGGTGGCAGGTGAGGCGCGGGAAGTCCGGCATCTTCCACCGCGTCAAAGTCGAAGGTCTTCAGGAGTTGATCTACACCCGGGATCGGTTCGGCGTCCCAGCGATCAGTCGCTGCTACCGGTGACGTTTCGCAGGCACCGTCAGTGTAATCCGCAACTGGATACCTGGCCTGGAGGGAGTTACTGTCTCTGCGGACGATGGGATGAGAGTTGCTGGTGGTGGGCCGGGGACTAGAACTGATGATGAGCGGTAGGGACAAAGACTGATGACTCTCCTTACGCCGCTTGCAGCCATGTGTGACCCCGTTGCTCATACAGATTGTCCGGATAGCACTTGGTGAATGAAGAAAGCACAGTCTTGGTGAAGAGTACTTAAGGTTGATCATCGAGATAGGAACTGAGTCTTGTCAAATCCCACAGTAGTTGACTTCTTTTTGAAAGTTCAGCGTATAAAAAAAACAAATAAATTGCAAGAACGCAGTTAGAACCTTGGTTTCATCCAAGCCTTGTACTTGCTTTCGTACGTCTGAACCCTACGGGGGTCGCCGAAATTTCCACAATTTGATCAGATAAAATAACCTAAACGCTTGAAAGCACAACCTAGATTTATTGAGATCCACTCTCTGACCGCATTTTCCAACTTAAAAATCCGGATGCCAAGGGACAGAGAACAAAGATGCACACCGGGAAGTTTAACTATGCCCGTTAAAGCCACTCTGGTATTCAAGATAATAATGAAGCAATTTAAGGAAACATCCATGGTCAATCTGCACGGGGGGGATGGAGTGACCTCTTCGCCCAAACAGTACTCAGCCGAAGAACAGTCTACCGACAAGATAAAAGGGCTCAGTTTTTCCAACTCAATCAAAAGCATTAGTCTCCTTAAGTTATTAGGGCTTTAATCAAACGTTGGGTACTCAAAACGATTGTCGAAACGTGAGTGCGCGTGCGAAGTGCATAACGCCGGCCATATTTTACTATTAAACAGGCGTCCGAGGCACGTCTAGCTCATTTGAAGGAGAGAGCTACGACGGAGCTTGGGTTGGATCGCAATTGCCGCAGCGGAACACCCTCACCACATTCCCATTCCCTGGTCCACACCATGGAGAACTAAGCCCGCTCAGGCAGTCGAAGGCTTCCTGATTAGTCGATCGGAGATAGCGCCCACGCTCAAGCCAACCAATCACAACTGGCGGAACTGTATTGACACTTGACATGCCCGTGGTCATCGCTGCCCCGCCGTAACGCACCAAAAGTTCGAAATGGTTGTTTGGACGAGCTGAGGCCACTTTGGCGAGGATTCCGGGTGGGTCAGGTGTGATCGTCTGCCAGTGAAGATGGCTGGTGTTCCTTCCTTTCCCCGCTTCCCCCCACTCTTGCCGTCTGTTCGTTACTCGTTTTCCTTATCGGCAGCACACTCCCCGGTCCTTACCCGCAATTGCCGACATCGCTGCGATCCCCATTGGAGTCTAACTGATATGACGTAACCACCTTCCACACCAGCTGGATCACCTGTACAGTACCTCGTTATTTTCCACTTTTTTCTACTTTACGCACTTGTTAGTGTAACATAGACTTCTTACACTGTCCATGTGCAGGATTGACAGTCGGAGGGGTAGTCCTCGAGGGTAGCCGAACCCGGACGTCAAAGCAAAGAGAGAGAGAAGCCCACTCGCCAACCACGTCACCAAACATGCCTATGTTTCAAAATGAAATTCAGGGTGCAGACTGACCTCGTTAGATACTTTCGAATCCGCCACAATATGAACGAGACCAACCGCAAGCAAAAGGCGATCATCACTGCCGCTG